GTTAAATGCATGTCTGCCATGGCGAGTCAGTCCGAAACGCTTGTTAACGCAGAAAAGGATGTACAGGATCAGTCGGTCCGTGAACACAATATCCACCTACCTCCGTGTGATACCGATGTGTTCAAGGGTGACTATCTGCCATGGCCATCATTTCGTGATATGTTCACGGTCATATACATCCTTAACAAGCGCCTCACTCCGGTTGAGAAACTATTTCATCTCAACCAGAAGACTCAAGGGGAATCCAAAGATATCGTGAGAAAGTGTCCACTCACAAACGAAGGCTTCCAAACAGCCTGGAAAAGTTTATGCGAGAGATATGAAAACAAGCGTATCCTCGTAAATACACAACTGAAAATACTTTTCAATTTAAATTCAGTGGAAAATGAGTGTGGTAGCTCAATAAAAAGGTTGCAGCGGCATATAAATAATTGCTTATCGTCCCTAAACAGTCACCAAATTAACGTTTCAAACTGGGATGCAATTATAGTCTACCTCTGCTCCACAAAACTTCCAGAAAGTACGCTGGCTCTATGGGAACAAACCATAGACCAAAAAAATGATACACCAAAGTGGGAGGATGTGGACAAGTTCTTATCCAACAGGTTTCAAACGTTGGAGACTTTATCAGGCTTAAAAAATTCCAAAGCTGTGAGAGCGCTAAAGCCGCAGCATACACGCAAACCAGCAGAAGCCTCCCCAAAACGAAGCGCTACTTGGTCGATACTGTGGAAATTGTTTAGCCACAGATCACGCAACCGAGCGATGTACCAGCGAAGGACGATGCCGTCGATGCGGCCTGCGAAGCACCACACTACGCTTCACCTCGGTGAAGCTCGACGACCCGCAGAGGAGGTACAAAAGCCTTGGAGCTTCCAAGTCGAAGAAGAAGAGCGCAACAATTATGAGGTGGCCATCTCGCTATACGCGTCTGATTCTGGAACGGAGACCAGGCCTCTCCGTCCAGATATTGAAGCGGGCGAGATAATCGAGTTCGGAGTGGAGACTCGGCCTCTCCACCTGACTACTGCGAGGGGATCGGAAACTCGGTCTTTCCGACCCCTACTCCAACACGAGCGCGATCGCCAACGACCACACCAGCGACAGCGAACGCATCAGCGACGTCGACGACATTGCAAAGCGGAAACTCGGTCTTTCCGCCTGCAGCGATCTTCCCGACACCCAGCGCAATCCGAACATGACGATAGACTGGCGACTCGGCCTCGCCAGCTATCACGACCAATCGCGTTCCGTAATGGGCTATCGGCGAAAAACCCCGTTGTTTTGCCAACCCTCCGCCCTATGGTAGCTATTCCTCTAACGGCCGTGGTTAAAGTTGAGGCGAGGGGGCGCTTACATTTAGTCCGCGCGCTTATAGACGTCTGTACTCACACGAAAATTGTATCTGCGGACCTGGCCCGCGAGCTACGCCTAGAGCAAACACGAGTCGGCGAGCAAACGGGCAGTCTCTTATGTTTACGAGGGAAACACGGCCTGAATAAGCGAGTTGCGACCCATGCCGTGGTTGCACCTCATTTCCACCGAGTAGCGCCAAGTAGCAGCGTAGATCCGACCGTCTCCGCTTCGTACGCACATATCCGTTTAGCGGACCCCAACTTTTTCAATTCCGCGCCGATACGTCTGGTATTCGGGACCGACGTATACGCGGATATTTTACTACCCGGAATTCTTCCGAACACTTTCGGGCCTCTGCTGGCTCAGAGCACCATCTTTGGATAGGTTCTTTCCGGAGTCTGCAGAACCTAGCTTCGTAAAATTGGAATTCTAATTAAAATCCATAGTTTCTAAAGTTGGAGTTTATTTCTATTGAAAAATAATGAATTTTTATATACATATGAGATAAGTGAATAAAGTGCATTTGAATGGTAAC